CTAGTGTGGGGTGTGCACTTTCTCATTTTATTCTACATACTTTTTTATCATGTGTCATAGTATTTCTTTCTTTCTAAATTCTATTGAAATAAAACAGGAAATCATAAACAAGTCGCATGTATTAACTAAGGGGATCTCTTTAGCACTATTAAAGCCGTGATTCATCATCATCAGCCTCTTTAATTGGTCCATTTCTGGACGTAGGCCACCTTCAATTTCCTCCAGTACCCCCTGCACTGGCCTCTTTGAATCCACTGAGAACCAACTTCTTTGACGATGTCTTGGTTAAACTTTCCAATATGGACCATCGATTTGAATGCCCATATTTTTTTTGTAGATAGTACTAAAAGAAAGTGTATATAAAAAATCGGAGGCGCGGAGGAAGAGCAGCCCCCACCCGCTGTAACAAAGCACAGGCATTAAATATAGAAATATCTATTATTTTTTATTTATCGATATTTCATGGTAAAAAAACCATAGATTAATTAAAAAAACAATTTTGATGCAGAATGTCCATCTCTAATAACCAATAGAAAATTTACAGTTCATCAATCAATTATTTGTCAAATTTATTATGTTATGGCGTGTTATTTGCCCATTTGTATGGCAAATAAAAATAAATGTATATCATGAACCGTAATTTTCCGCAACTTAAAACTTTGCAAAACGCTTTCTTTTAGTGAGTACTGTCTACAAAAAAATATGGGCATTCAAATCGATAGCCCATTTTGGAAAGTTTAGCCCCGTCGGCTCTTTTGCATGGGAACTATGTGGCCTGCCCACCTCCATTTTTAATCCCAATAATAAATATTCAAATATACACATGTTAAAAAGTAGCGGCATCGGTTATATCCCATTACGTACACTGCGACCTGTCACTTGTCACCAAACTATTACAGCTAAAACAACTTGGCATTATGAACTACTTAGAAACAGTATTGAATTACAGCTTTTTAAGGTATTCTTTTAGAAATAACGGAAACTGTTTCATGGCAAGGCAATACTTTGGATATGAAAATCCTAACGATTTTCTATCAATTTGCCATCGCGTTAAAATATTATAAGATACTTGTTATAGATAAATGAGTGAATTGCCGTTTACAAAAAAGAAAAAAAATCACGAATAAAAATTAACCGAAACGTAATAATTAAATTTTTATATAAAACGTAAATTAATTATATTAATTATTTTAGGTAGCCTGTTGCAGGTTATTATAGATAGGTATCAAACATTAAATTAAATTAAAAACATCAATAATTTATAAGACTAATTTTTCTAACGACGTAAAATAAAAAATATAGTAAAAATTAGCTCAGCTTATTATGTTAGCTTTATAGCGTGTAGGTGAGAATCGTTATTGCTATTTTTTTATTGCAGGATCTTTTGATTATGACGATAAAAGTAACTATGCCAAGCGTATCTGCTTGTATAAAAATAGTGAGGAATACAAAAAAAAATGATAATTAAAAGCTTATTTTACTTAGTGTTAAATTTGGCTTAAAAGAAAAAAGGACCACACAAGATATCACAGGATACGGAAGGAACGATTTTAATACTTGCCAGTTTAAAGTTTTAAAAACTGTGTGGACTTAAAAGTAAAATTAGAGAAAATTTAATGTATGGGAATTCTAATGACCGGAAAAAAATTATTTCGCTTCCATTATTTCCGTAATTATTCCTAGATATTACTTAGTTCTTGGATAACCCTCGAAAATTGGGATAAATGCAATTAAAATACCATAAATGTTTTGGACATTTTACAATTATTTAATGTAAATGTAAATCAAGTATCAAAACTATTAACAGCACAATCCCGCCATAGAATTGTGGCGCTAAGCAGTTTACCGCGTGTGTTTTGTCGCGTTACAATAATATACATTAACCGTAGTGCTCGTTTTCAAATATTGTTTGTTTAGGATAAATTTAGAATGTTGTGTTTATTAAACATCAAGCTAATCAAAAGAATTTTTAAATACCAATTAGCTACCGATAATACGAATAGCTACCTATTTTAATTGTGTTTGCTGATAAAATTATCCGTAATTACGTTTGATTCTTTGATGTTCTGATGTTTGTATTTATTTACAATAGATACTTTTATTTGTCACTACTTTTGTATTATAGCTATAAACGGTGTTCCGTATAACTACTGTTGTTACAATTTAAAGTAGAGAAGTATGGTATTAATTATTGTACCATTTCTCTGTACATTGATATGAGAAATTTCTGTAATGTTCAATTGTGTAATAAAACGAAAATAGGCCTAAATAAGAATGTATTTTAATTTATTATAACCTGTTACAATGTACGAGGATGTTGTAGTAAAAAAGAATATTTAGTGAATACAATTTAGTGCAAAAGTATAGATACCGGCAAACTTCTTGAGCATTAATGGTCCGAGAGCTGGCACCAATTTTTGGGCAGGTATTTGAGGCAAGCTGAAAACTTGTCACATACCTCTCCTATTATATTCCAACACGGAATTGCAGACCTGGCTGGTGAGTAGCGGGGCTAAATCAACCCCTACATTTTTAAAAATATTAATTTTTTTTCCCCAAAAATATATTTGAGGCAATACGCAATTTATATATGTTGCAGTGTAATACTTAATAAATACGAAAAAAAATAAGCCAGACAATTTAATCGGGGCTGTAACATTACCAGACGCGTGTAAATATTTTTTCAAAAAATTATAAAAAATGTTTTTGAGGCAGCTTGAAATTTTAATGAAGTGTTATTTATTACTATAAAATAAAATTCCCAAAAAGACAGATCATTTCGGTAGGGCTTTCTACCTGCCAGGCGATCAAACAAATAATGGATGGGCACGGGCCTGTACTACTATAGACAAGCTGTAGTGTGAGAGAGAACGCATATCGACAGCTGTCTTCGTTCTGGCTTGCCGCGTTACTATTGGCTCTAGTGAGGCCACGTGACTTACAATAACCCATGAAGTTTTTAGTTAGAATTTCGGAGTCGTTACTTTCAGTCGTATTATTATTCTACTAATGGTATTACACGTTATAAAACTCAAATAATTAGAAAATGTCTAGTGAAAAGTTAGTTTGTGTTATTTGTTAAAAAAAATGATGCTAAAGTGATTGCTTTTGTGGAGAAAACTCTCAAAAAAAGTCAAGAGGTGTTAAAGATCCGTAAACATCATGGGTTAAAATATAATGATATTGTTTTGCCAGTGATTCCTAACCTTTCAGATGGTTATCACACAAGTTGTTATAAGAATTTTATTTTATATTTTACAGGTGAGAATAAATGGTTTATTTTTAATAACTGCTGCATTCAAATTTCTGTGATTAATTAAAAAAATAAATATCTATTTCTTTTCGCAGATGAAGAGGTTGCCGAATCTGATACAGATGAATCCGAAGATTCAAGTAGTTCTGATGAAGATTCTGATCCACAGACGAAGAATGATAATTTATATCTGACGTGAAACGAATTTAATTTATTTCTAATTTTTTTATACTTAAATAATTGAAACACTGAAGAAATATTATATTTTTATAAATCTAGTTTTGCGATTTTATATTTTAATCATTGGTTTTTTTTATACGTAACCCTTATTAATTTTAATATGAAAAAGGTTTTAAATTTCCGTATAAATTTTGACTTGGAATACTGTCAGAGAAACAATTTTTAGTTTTGAATGTAGGGGCAACAGTATGAATTCTGTACTGAAAAAAATTTTTTTTTTTAATTCTCTTCAAAAAATAAATATTTTTACGGAAATATCAAACGTTTAAATTCGCATTAAAATTGGCAAAATGGCAAATTTTTTAAGATAAAAACGAAATCACAAAAATATGTCCCTTTAACGTCCATAAATCAATACAATCACTTTTATGCAAAATGTATTTAGTACAAATTCAGAAAATTTTATATTTTTTACTCCGAAATTCTAACTAGAAACCTCATAGGTTATTGTAAGTCACGTCGCCTCGCTAGAGCCAATAGTAACGCGGCAAGCAAGAACGAAGACAGCTGTCGATATGCGCTCTCTCTCACACTACAGCTTGTCTATAGTAGTACAGGCCCGTACCCATCCATTATTTGTTTGATCGCCTGGCAGGTAGAAAGCCCTACCGAAATGATCTGTCTTTTTGGGAATTTTATTTTATAGTAATAAATAACACTTCATTAAAATTTTAAGCTGCCTCAAAAACATTTTTTATAATTTTTTGAAAAAATATTTACACGCGTTTGGTAATGTTACAGCCCCGATTAAATTGTCTGGCTTATTTTTTTTCGTATTTATTAAGTATTACACTGCAACATATATAAATTGCGTATTGCCTCAAATATATTTTTGGGGAAAAAAAAATTAATATTTTTAAAAATGTAGGGGTTGATTTAGCCCCGCTACTCACCAGCCAGGTCTGCAATTCCGTGTTGGAATATAATAGGAGAGGTATGTGACAAGTTTTCAGCTTGCCTCAAATACCTGCCCAAAAATTGGTGCCAGCTCTCCTACTATAAACAAGGGAGTGGGGGAAAGTTTGCGCATCGTACACATAAATGTCAACTGATTTACCAATCACGCGATCGACACGTCACTCTCCCGCCGCCGCGCACCACCGCCCGCCGCCGATTTTCGCAAAATCGTTTCTGCGCAGGCAAGGACATTTGTTCAAGATGTTTGCCGGTATCTGTAGTAGTAATATCTGTAGTAGTAATAATATAGAGACTCTCGAGTTAAAATAAGAAACTAAAAATCAGTTGCGTTTCATAATACATATTCTACTCGTAACATTTAAACGATATACATATCTGAGTAACTTTATCGGTACTACGACAAAATTACCTGTATGTATTCCAGCATTGAATTATGAATAAATATGTTTTTATTTCTTTGAAACTATCAATCGACTATGTTTAGGGCTTTCGAAATGGGAAAAGGTATTCCTATTTTGTACCTACGTATTTAAAACCTAGCATTATTTGCAACCTGCCATTCTGATTACGTTTCTTCTATCGGATCACCATGTTATTGGTACCCGATGTTTTGCTTCCTATTGAATTGCTTTTGCAGACATTAGTAGACCATTATCTCAATACTTCTTACTGTACAACTGTTATAACTGAAACGCCGTTGCAAGTTTTACCACAGATTTCACATCGCTATATCCTTTTGAACCAGAGCCTTGAGGATTTAATACTGGATGCATCGGAGGCTGGTTGTTCAGACTTTATCGTACAAATAAGTGAACCTAAAAGATTTTTCTATGCGTTGGATTATGCAACACGCCGCGGTCTTTTAAGGCGAAGTGACCGAAAGATAATTTTGTTACCACTAAACAATACAAAAGATAATTCGCTTCTAAATGTGTTGAGAATGAAAGAAAGCAGTTTTGTTGTCAATCTCCTTCTGGTGCTGCCTTCTTCATCGATTCATTGCGAAGCTTTCGATTTGGTTACGCATAAGTTTATTGGTCCAGTTGACAACGATATGCCAGTATATCTGGATAGTTGGAATTCTTGTTCGGGGTTTGAAAAACATGGGAACCTATTTCCTCATGATATGTCTAAGTTGGATGGTAAAAATGTCAAAGTAACATGTTTTACCTACACACCTTACGTACTTTTGGATTTGGATCCTGGAATAGTGCCTCTCGGCCGTGATGGTGTTGAGATCAGGTTAATGGAGGAGTTTTGTAGGTAAGCAGTTTGTTAATACTCTATAAGATGTGTTCTAAGATAGAAGAGTAAACTCTTTGAGAAATAACTGTATTAGAAGCAGGGATTGAATACCGGTTCTGGTTCTGTTCGGGTTCTAAAATAACTGTTCTTAATAATAATATATCGGATCTGTAGTTTGCAGTTTAGATGTTTTCAAAGGGGCCATATTCCCTCTTAAATATTGAATTTTTAGGTGAATTTTATCACCATGGAATCATGTAGTAGTGACAATTTAGAAGAACTAAAATTATGTATTCAAAGAGTTTTAAAACGTTAATATTTTTTATAAATTCCGTTAATATTATGATTCTGAATATAATTAATTTAATAATAATTATCTATCTAGTCTGGCCATAAATAGTGTTGCATAAAAACTTTTCTTTTTTTTCAACTTTGTTATTATTTTAAATTTGGAACACGTAAATTATTTTAAAAACTTCTTTCGATTTTGCGCCATTTCACATAATTTCTCGTGTTCATTATGAAATTACAATATGGAATAGGGTATTAAAGAGAATAGGATTGCAGTAATCGCCTTGCGCAAGATGGGTATGGGGCCGTCCTATCATTGATTTTTGAATGTATACTATCCATATATACTATATCTAATTTCAAGTAATCATAAAAAATACCAATAATAATTGCTCCAGGTGGGTTAACTGCACTATAGAAATAATAGGTGATAACGGTGAAGAATGGGGTGAGGTGTACGAGAATTTTACAGGCTTGGGTGTACTCGGTAATGTTGTTGAAGATCGCGCTGATTTTGGAATAAGTAAGTTTATGGTGTTTTCGTTTCATGTACTGCCGTGCGATTCTGTTAATCCGTGAGTTCACCTCGCACTAACAACGCTCCCTTCCATTTTTGGAATCTCATGGTATTCTGTTAAGCAATTTCACATTACGTCTTGACAAGCGGAGGGAGCTTGTAGTTTATTGTCTATCAGAATGCCAAATCGTAAAATGACTGCTTCAAGACTGATTTTAGCGCGAACGCCGCTGCGAAAACCGCTGTGAGAGTTCGAAAAGTGAGTTACAGAATCGCAAGGCTGGTGTTGTTGAAATAAAATTACTTTAATAACTGTTAGTAGTTTATTATATATATATTTTAATAGGATTTAAGCTATGTTGATTGATCATCAAGCTCAGTAACAGTTAAAAGAAATTGTGAAATTAAACCACGCGGATTTTATGTAAACATTGAACTTATATTATTTTTTCTAAGCTGCTTTATATTCTTGGTATGAGGAATTTCTTTATATGGATTTTTCCGGATATGGTGTACGTACCTCTGTTACATGCATAGCTCCATCTCCAAGGTAATAATATTATATCAGCATTTTTAAAATGTACAATAATTTTAGCTCTGACTTTTAATTGCACGATGATAAATTATTTACTTAAATTAACTAACAATGATAGCGGACGAGGTTAAGCTCACTCATCTCCAAATATTGATTATGATAATAAAACATTTATTATTTTTATTTAGAAATATATACGAAATATTACGAATATATGAACTGAATATATTGTCATAGTTGTAGAATAGTCACGGATCTGACAAATGGTAAACTTTACAGGGCAGCCATTTCAAAATAATATAATCATGTTAGTTTTTTGTCATAACTTTTTTAATTCATATTCTGTATTTATGAAAGTTGGCATACAAGCAAACAATAGGGTTTCTTTTGAAACAAAATAAAAATGATAACGTAATATTTAGTTAATGTATTATCCAAATATGACAAAAATTGGATTTTGTTTTTTTTTCAAATCCGACATTGTTCTACGACCATGACGATATAATAGTAATTAAAAAGAAAACGAGAAACACGTTAAATAGCTTCTTGATATATTTCGTCGGTTAAATCATGTTATTTTTTCATCATTGGTATTTTTTAGACTTTTAGCGAGTTGGACAATGCCACTACTACCATTCAGTATTTGTATGTGGATAGGACTGCTGTTTACGTTCATTTATGAAGCGTTATCATTGTTCGTGGCTCAACATTTTTCAGCGAAGAAAATTTTTCTGACAACATTCGGCATCATGATTACGCAGGTTTCATTTTATACTATACTTTTTTATAAACGAACTTGTTTAAAATACCTTATATGTATTCCACATCAGTCTTTGTTCAAATAAATGACGCTTCGATGGGAACATAACTCTGAACCATTGTTATACGCCATATAGATGAATTACTGGCGTTCAGGAATACTTAGTGTTATACTAGAGACTTGCTTAGAATTTTAAAATAAATATTAAATCCTTATTATTTAATAAATCATCGCCTAAACATATATTTACTTTTAGTAAGAACTAATAATATTTGATCAGTGTTGGCCTAGTGGTTTCAGCGTGCGAGTCTCATCCCTGAGGTCGTAGGTTCGATCCCCGGTTGTGCACCAATGGACTTTCTTTTAAGTGCGCATTTCAAATTCGCTTGAACGCTGAAGGAAACATCGTGAGGAAACCGGCTTGCCTTAGACCCAAAATTCGATGGCGTGTGTCAGACACGGAAGGCGGATCACTTATTTGGCTATTAGATTACCAAATGATAATGAAACAGATACAGAAATCTGAGGCCCAGACCTAAAAAGGTTGTACCGCCATTGATTTAAAAAAATTGATTAAAAAATATTCTTGTCTGCCGCGTGCATATTTTGTTAAGAATTTTTAATAAATTAATTAACCTACTTATTGAAAACGATTATTTACAGTCTCAAAATGACTCAAATTTCAAATCGTGGAGGATTCGAAGCGTGGTGGGATGGATGATGCTGACTGGTTTGGTGTTAGATAATGCTTATGGTGGTGGACTGGCGTCTACCTTCACAGTACCCAGATATGAGCCTTCTGTTGACACTATCCAAGATATGGTGGATAGAAAAGTAACTTGGGCTGCCACTCATGACGCATGGGTGTTTTCCTTGTCTGCGTCCCAGGATGTAGGTGACCTTTTAGATATTTCTTGAGAAACAATAATTTTATTCAAACTTCAAAATCATTTATTCATATAGGTAACACAATGTACACTTATGAAAAAATAAATATATATGAAATGCTTCTAATTCTACATTTTCCACATGACATCTTAAGTGATTAATAATAATAAAATAAATAGAAACAAAGATTTGTCCTCTATCAACAGGAGGCATGGTGAAATAATTGCACGCACTTACATTCTCGTGGGACCAACACGCAAATACATAGTCGAAATAACTAACATCACCACATACACGAATTCAAGTCCGACCAGTCACCACAAGTAGCACCCGTTCACGATTATGATGCTGATATTATGGGGCAAGGAGCAACCGAACCGAAACTGCTACTGCTACGGCAGCTGGTTCCACGAGGTAGTGCGCGGCAGATAGTGCCTTACAACACCCTTTGATTTTTTGTCTTTGTATAATGTATTGTGTTACATATTCATTGCATTCCCTTTGCCCCGCATAATCAATACAATCTTACGCAACACCATTATAAAAGGAAATGGACAACAGAGATCAGTAGCTTTTGATCGGATACCTCACATCGGACCGGTCAATTCTTAACTAGATAAGTTTATAATATAGATTATTTGTCGTGGACCTAATATCGGGCCGATTAAATAGTTATATTTAGTTGTCTTATTACTGTAAAAGTAATTAATTAAAGTAATTTAAATACATTTTTTTTTTGGAATCACCGCTGGCCCTCAATTATTGTCTTAATATTTACATAAGTGCCTATTTATGTACCCAAAAGCTTATTATTATTATATTATATTAAATAGCTTACTTTTTATTTGTAGGAAAATAACGTAGCATTATTTTCAGCCTTTAATCAAACAGTTAGTTAGACAGTTCCATATTTATGAGCCGGAAGAGTTGAAACGTCTAAGTTTTACAAGAAAGGTAGCTTATAGCATTGAGAGACTACCGGCGGGTAAGAAATTTACATGAAAATTTTCGTAATTAACGTAATACTTCTTATACTAACAGATTTAGATATATTATTATAATATATAATCCAGGTTATTTCGCAATTGGAGAATACATCGACGATAAAGCAGTTCGTGACTTTACAATTCTAGTTCAAGATTTCTACTATGAATTATGTGTGGTTATGATGAGAAAAAGCTCACCTTACACACTCCAGATGAATAAACATATTGGCAGGTTACATGAGAGTGGGTTGATGCTAGCTTGGGAAAGACAGGTACTCTTTAGAGCAATAAATATATTTATTTACACTTTTTGCACAATAGTTTAATCATAATATTAACATTAAACTTTAAAAGAAAAAACATGATGCAACTGGCAGCCTTAGCGATACTAAGCGATCTCTTCTATCCTGTAAAAAAAAAGAATTGTGAAGAAGCGCAAAACCTAATTTATATTTAAAAATACAACAAATACAATTAATAAATCTTAATATTTATAAAGTCAACTAATAACTGATAATAAAACAAAAAAAAGGTTAAATTCTAAAATGATTATAATAACACCGACACTAACTTACACATAGGAATACTATACTGTCAGAAAGTGCTTATAGGAGAGTTTGAAAGACAATAGTGAAGAAGCTGGTAGTATAGCAGGAAGAGAATTCCAAAGCTTCAATAAAAACAAATCACTTTATTAATTATTAAGAATTCAGTTTCGATCAGTTACGAATGTCAAAAGTTAATTTCAACATCAAAGAATGTTGGTTCTCTCTTTCTTTT